AAGATTTGCACACAACCTATAAATATCCTCCCATATACTTTAAAATTAAATAATCTCTAGATTACTTATCACATGTAAATGCTAGGTAAATAGTTACCACACTATATTGTTTAGGGGCTAATAAAAAGAAGAAAAGCCTGTATATAATTAGAACAGATGAACTTTTCCCCCAAAAGCATTTCCAATTCAGGCCGGGTGTGCTGACATGGACCTGTAATCTCAGCACTCTGGGAAGCTGAGTCAGGGGGATCACAAGTTGGAGCCCAGCCTAAGCAACTTAGTGACTTACCAAGATTCCGTCTCAAAATTAGAAAATAAAAATAAAAATAAAAAAGGGCTGGGGATGCAGCTCAGTGCAAAGGGCCAGTTCAACCATCCCACAGACAGACACACACAGACAGACACACACACAGATCCTGGTTGGAGGAATTTGCTAATGCAGATTCATAGATACAGAGAGCTGACTACATTCTCCATGAAGAAACTGGAGTTTTAATCTCAGGGTGACCGAGAATCACACTGAACACTTAGGTGACACAGCCAGATTCTCATGAAAGATTGTGTCTCTGTAGAGCAGAGGACAAGGTGGAGAAGAGAGACTCCAGCAAGGATGCCAATCTGCTGGACCAGGACCAGGGGCAGAGTGGAGGAGGGAGTCGGACTAGAGGATGAATTTGCAGAATTTCATCCTGGACATGGTGGTGACAGTGGAGTGGTGGCGGAGAACAAATCCCATCACCAAAGCCAGCTCCAACGAGAAGGATGGTGATTATGCAGATGATCACGGTGTTTCATCCTCGTATTCTCATCTCCTCTTTCCCTGCTTTTACTCTTCAAACTTGATATTCACCATATGGTTTTATTCTCAGAATAGATAGGGTTTGGGGAAGGAAAAATCTCATTGTTGTTTATTGCAGTCCCAGAAAATAAATCACAAGAGCACTCAGGGCAGATGCTTAGCATTTATATTACATTTGCCCAACCGAAGTGCTCAGAGTACACCATGACTTACAGGTGCTAAACTGTCAGTGTCTGAGTTCAACCGGGCCGCAAGCAGGTTTAATCATCAGCATCATCAGCTTAATTAGAATGGTACCAGGATTTCAACTTAGGTGGTTCTTTAGTTTAAAAAAATTACAAAGCAAAACTCTCAGATTGTTAACATATAACTAGAAAAAACTGCTTGTTTGTTTCAATAAGTAGTTGAACAGCTCTTTTATACCACATTGCAGGGCAGGTCTGGATAGACCATGAGGCCCAGAAAACACCCTGTTGCCGCCTGCAGTCCCTGCACCCAGAGGGCTGTCACAGGCCCGGGCTGAAACCAGAGCTCGAGAGACTCGGTAGGAAGTGATGGGTGTTCAGGCCCAGGGGACAGGCCAGGCAAGCAGCCCTGGTGTCCTCTCCTCCGTGGGGTGGAGCAGCAGGGTGTGGAGACGGAGGATCTTTTCCAATGTTTCCACTGACGATAATGGGTACATGCTTTGTGCATACCAGCTGGGCATGACATGACAAAGAAGCCCAGAAACACAGCCCTGACCATGTGTGTCCTCGTAGGGAAATACTGTCACTTCTCCTTCAAGGCAATGTAAAGTTTCTCAAGTCAAGCGTATTATGACAGAATTCAAATTCCTTTGGAAAAAGCTACAGCGACAAAACATAAAACAATGTGTGATTAATTGGTCAACCTTTTAAAGATAATGTTACTGGTGATGATGGGAACTGGCCATGTTACAGGTATAAGTTGGTATTACCTCTCTGGTGAAAACCTAGCAATTCTGCTAGAAGCTATTATGGGCAAAACATAAAACATATGTACAGGCACATACAGGCAAAGATGTTAGTTACAAAATTCCTTATCATTTGGAAAAAACTACATTCCTGTAATGATGTAAACTCGTGACATAAATTATAGCACTTCCAATGTTAGGGAATATCTGCCATTATAAATCATGAAGATCAAGAAGACTTGACACTGGGAAGCGTCCAGGACTGCATCACTGAAGTGGTAGCACATTTCATAAGCACGTTTTTATAAGGTTACATAAGGTAACATAAGAGGCTTAGGGCAAAAATATTCAGCTTGGTATGGTGGCATACACCTACAATCCAGTAGTCTAGAAAGCTGAGGCAGGAGGATTGCTAGTTTGAGCCCAGCTGGGCAACTTAGCAAGACCCTGTCTCAAAAAAAAAAAATTTTTTTTTAAAAAAAGGGGCTGGGAATATAGGTCAGTGGAATGGGTCTAGGTTCAATGTCCAGTACTGAAAAGAAAAACAATTCAATTCAAAAGTCATAGCAAAAGTCATAGCTGAAGATAGCTATCTTTGAATAGTGGGATTGTATATTGTCTTGTGGTTTTCTTCTTTTCGTTTTCTTGGTCAAAAACATTTATATAGTAAAATGCTACTTTTGTAATCAGAAAAAACTTATTAAAATTATATATAATAATTTAAATGACAACCAATTTATAAAAGACACCTTTACAAAAATTGTAAGTTTAAATTATAATTTAAGTAAAATACGTAACATGTAATATATTGAATATATATAATGGGTCACTTATTAGAGTGGTATTTAGTATAAAAATTCCCAGACAATTAGAAGTTTCTGCAAAAGAACATGATTTAAGAAATGTGAAGAACCAAAGCGACTGTGGACTCCCCACAAAGAGCCGCTGTGCTGCATGCTGTGGCCTGGGGCTTCGACAGAGGGATCTGATGTGCTGCCAGCTCCAAGCCTCGCTCACTGGCTCCACCAGAGCCGGCTGGGAGGCCCCGGGGACCGTGCTGAGCTGGGGCAAATGTCCTGATGTGCTGGGCAGGGATGAGGGCAGGGGGTGGCCTGGGCTTGCTGCCAGTGTGGACTCAGGGCTGGAACAGGCGAGGGACTGGAATCACGCTGCGCTGAGAAGCCCGGGCTGGAAGGCCTCGCTCGCCACCCCTGCAGTGCCAGCACCTATTGGAGTCCCGGGGCTGGGGAGGTCACTGGGAGAAGGCTCAAGGGAAACCTTGGCCCTGAAGGATGGGTGAAGAGTCGAGGGAGAAGGCAGTGGGGAAAATAGACACGCAATGCTTGGCTGTTCAAGGCTGAAAATGGGAGCATCCCTGTATACAGGTCACGGGGACCAGAATGAGGGGTCATGTGAGGCTGCCGTACTGTGGTCAGCTGTGGGCCAGGGGAATAACCACAGAACTTGGTGGTAGGTAAACCTAGTTAGCTTTTGTTATCATTTTTTTATTATTTCCTGGGCCTAGCGCAGAACCTAGTAAATAGCAGGTATTCAGTGAATACTTGCTCTTTGTGGTCCCCCACCCTGGCGACTGTACCCAGGGACTTCCCACTGAGCTATATTCCCAGCCCTTTTTAATTTTTTATTTTGACACAGAGTCATGCTAAGTTGCTAAGTTTCTTGGGCTGGACTCAAAGTTGTTATCTTCCTGCCTCAGCTTCTCGAGTGCTGGCAATACAGGAGTGTGCCATCACATCCAGCTTGTCTTGTGTTTTAAACCCTGTCTCCTGGGGGTGCTGAGCCTAAGCTGCCACCATGCTTGGGCCTGCCCTGGCATCCCTGCTTTAAAATGTTCCTGGTTTTTTATCACTCAACAATCACATGTCCTGTCTAAATCCTATAGATCCCAGGCACACTCCCTGCCTCCTGGAGTTCAGGGAGAGACACGCTTAATCGAACACATATGTGACAAATAGCTCACAGGAGAGGCACAGCACTGTCACAGTGTCAGAGTGGAGAGGCCTGGCCTAGGCAGGGCATTCCGGGCAAATTTGTCTGAGTAAGTGACACCACGGGATGTGAAAGATGAATATGAGTCAGCTACGCAAACAGCATTCCACAGATAGAAGAGCATTCACAAAGGTCCTGCTGCAGGAAAATGTGCAGCCACCATGAATGGCTTTGGGAAGTGCAGTGTGGCAGGTCCTCAGACCTGGTAGTGAGCTTGGAGCAGAAGAGGTCTGAGAAGCAAGCAGGATCTGGTCTCAACGGGGAGTGTAGGCCAGGAGATCAGTCTCTAACATCACTTAAAGTCAAAGGAAAGCCACTGAAGATGTCATAACACAGATAGAAATAATCACACAGTTGTTTTACACCTCAGCCTCATTCATTCAGCTCTGGCAACTGCTTTCACAGCTCGGCCTTCTGAGAAAACTCTCCTGTGAGGGAAAAGCAGCTGACAAAATGTTTGAAATCAACCCCGGGCCCACACAATACCGCAGGGCAGATTACAAACACAGCACTTCAAGACGCTTTCCTTCCGTTACTAGAAAATTGTCATACCAATTTTGTCAGGGGGAAACTCTTCATGCCAGCCTCCAGAAATTGTTACAGTAAATGGAAAAGCTTGTGATATTTATGATGTGACACCTCTGTGCAGGCCACAACTCCAGAAAGAAAAAGGGAAAAACAACTTTTTCCCCTTAAATACAACGAGATGCATTTTTTGCCCAAGGTGCCTCTGCCTGTGAACCAAGGAGCCCAAGAGCAGACAACAGAAATATACAATGTGATGGGCTGTATGGGCAGAATCAATGAGCTGTGTGTGGCATCCTGGTTTGATTAAAATTGGAAGAGGTATTCTACTCAGGTTTTTCCAAGTGGTTTTTGTGTTATGATAACATTTCACTTTCAACCAGAAATCCTGCAGTCTAAGTTTAAATTCACTAACAGTTGTTTTCAAATTCTCTATCACGAAGTAGCAATGAAACGCTTGTATATATTATAAAGCATCCTAGAAGTTGATACACACATTCAACTCCATAGTCAGTTGCATGTTTATCTTGTTCACAATTTTTTTCCCCTTAAATGAAATGCACTACTCTCACAGATGTTTCTAGAAGATTCTAAGAAAAAAATAGAAGGGATGGATTGTGGTCTTCTCCTATCCTAGACTCCACTGCGCTACCTCAGGCATTTCTCCTCTGATCCTCGTACCTATGTGTTCAGGGCAACAGCATTCCAAGAGAAGGGCCTGGAGAGACCACTTACTGCTCTCTGGACAGAAGATGAGCTGGTCCTTTCCTCCTCTTCCCCATCCAGCTCGGGGTCTTCGTTGTCAGTCCAAGAGGAAACGTCCTCTACTGAGCTGGTCAGATCGCACAAGCTCTTAGAAGTCAGCCTAAGGAGGTCTTCTGCAGAGGTCTCCTGTGGGGACACAAGGACAAGCCCTGGAATTATCTTCCAGCACCAAGCACCTCTGGAAGTTACCATGACAGAGGGGAGCTGCAGGCTCCCAATCCAAAGCCTACATGAGCTTTAGGTTCTGCATGTCCAGGTTAGCACCCATGTCAGGGCATGTGTACATCCAACTTATACTCAAACCACTTTTCCTTTCCCCTGAGGAATTTAGGTTTCTTAGGCTGATGTTTCCATGGGCAATCCAAGTTTTCTGGACTTTGATCCTTTAAGGGCCTGCCTGGTCTTGCTTTCAAGATGTTGTGTAAACTCTCTCATGGGCAAGTGAGACTCTTGGAAATCTGGCCTCTGTATAACACTCAGCACCATCCTCCTGCATTCTCCCTCCAGCCCATACCTTAAGTTATTTCCAATCCTCCTTGCAGCTCCCTGCCCCCCACCAATACCACCAGTATCCCCCCATCAGTGCAGACCACCCTTGATTGGTGACTGTGGTCTGCTGAGGGAAAGCCTGAGCATCTCGCCTGGATCCTCCCCAGAGGCGTCCCATGCACCCCTCCTGTCTCTCTCACATCCTAGGCAACTATTTCTTTTATCCCCTGAAGTGCAGGTGTAACTTCACTGGTCTGTCTCCCCCACTTGTAGTGAGTTCCTCCCACCTAACTCCATTTTTCCTCATTATTGTGGCCCCAAGCCTATCCAGAGCTCCAATATCCACTCTGTCCTCCTCCACCCCGTGGCCATCTCACTAGCACATGCTCATTAGAAAGAGATTAAAAGTGTTTATTGAATCAAAATGCCAACCAGAAGACGGGATAATGTGAAAGGAGTTCTTGAACAACTTCTAAAGGTCAACAACAATACACGGAATCTGACTCCATTCACATTAGTTTAAGTGGGCTTCACAGACCCACACCCTGCTCCTGTGTACAAAGAGGGCCAGAGCAGGTTTGAGATGCACGTGAGCTCGTGAGGTGCTAGTGACAGTCCAGCTGCAAAGGAGGCACACCGAGTGCTCGGTGCTGTCCTGGGAAATGCCACCAACCATGAAGCCAGAGCTAGGGTCGGGAGGGGCGCAGGGCTGCAGAGCTGACCCCAGTCCAGAAAGAGAATAGTGGTTCCTCCTCATCCTCTCACACCAGCCACTTCCGCAGGAAAAGAAGCATTCAGAAAGTCTAAACCATCTCCCTGCTGGAGGGCAGACAGAATAGAGGGGAAATACCCACCATAAACAGTGAACTGTACAAACTGCTAGTGAGTTGGCATCTGAGGACAGTGACGTTTGTTGCTGTTTCCACCTTCAAGGAACTGAAGGATACTCATTTTAGACCAGTAATGGTGAGTACTATGCTGTTAGTCCTTAAGGAAATGAAAAAGTTACTAAACAAAAAGTAAGTTCACTTCTCTTCTGGATCTAACCATGAAGGCAAGCGTTTCCCTGCCGCTCACTCTGACCAGCTACACTACCCAGGGCCCTTTTCATCTCTTGTGTCTCTGTGATATCCTCATCAAGCAGATCTGGAGGCAGCAGTACAGAGGAAAAGCCTGAGGTTCGGAGCTGAGATTCACAGCTTTTCCAGGGCAATGCTGGCCAGGCGGAATTGTCCCCAGCAAGCACTGTCTCCTTGGGGTTGATTCCATTCCCGGCTGGCAGACACACCAGCTAACAGGTAGTACTACTGGTAGTGTTATCGGAATTTCACCTTCTACTTTTCTGTATTTTTTCTTGGTTTTCTATATTTGATATAAAAAGATATACTACTTGCTAACAAAAACCAGGAATGAAAAAGAGAGAGCAAGCGAGAGACCTGTATCGCCATATGGTGCTTCCAGGAATATCAGAACTGACTTGGATATTCTGAGCTCATTCAACAAAAACCCTCTCAGCTCCTGCTCTAAGCAAACAATGCACTTGTGTGGAAACTCAAGACCCTTGCTCTGCAAGAAAGTAACTGCCACGTGTCCAAAACAATGCCTTGAAGTTCTGTGACAGGGTGACTCTTATCTAGAACAACTTTCCATTTTTATTATTCTTTATATTCAGCAAGTGGAAGCTCGCTCCCATTTAGATATGAAGAAGAAAACAAAGGCTGTGGGTTACTTGCTCTTGTTGGATAAAGAGGAACAGAGGCCAAGAGGCATCTACAATGGATGCTTCTCTTGCCTTACATGGATGAGTGCCTCAGATGGTTGAGGCTGAAGAGGGAATGGAGGCAGCTGCTGGGCTGCTTATCACCTAATTGTAAGTGGGGCCCAGGGCGAGACGGGAAAGGTCTCGCTCCCTTGAGGCCTGGGTCAGGTGCTCAAGGGCCCCAGGACCAAGAGCTGGAAGGGACCCTCATTCTGGCTCCTGAATGCTGCTCCACTCTACAAGGACCCCCACAAGTGTCCCAAAGTCAAAGCCTTCAACACATTACCTTTTTCTAGCACCACTGGTGCTAGTGTCCTTTATGTCTTATATGTATAAAGGGAAGCTCGGTGTAGCAGCAGCATGAACCTTGAAGCTGGGTGGACTATGGATAAAACCTGCTCTGCTGCCTACTATTGTGTGACCTCAGGGCAAATCAACTCAGATTTGAATTCCACCCTTCGAATGAAAAAACTCAGACCTGTCTCATGGGATTCGTTTTTTTAATAACCTAATGGGGGTAAAAGCACCTGGCATCTGATTTATTTAGTGTCTGTCGTTTCTTTCCGTAAGGTGCTGTGTGAGATTGGAGACTGGCCTTCATCCAGGAACTAATAACCCGGATTGTACTAGCTCTGCCCCTTTTTTCGCCTTACGTTTTCTCCATGTTTGTGGATGATGGCTTGATATAGAAGAGATGTCCCTTCCTCATTTTCCAAACTAGCTGCAAAACAAGGCAAGGTAGAAATGAAGGTTTGGTGACACAGGGTGCAATGCCTGGGCCCAAGCCTGTGCGCCTTGAGCCGCAGCCTGTGTGGGAGGGGCTGGCAAACCAAACATTACTCTGCAGACACAAGTCTGTGCGCAAGACCCAAAGACAAGTTCATGCTCTGGATCCAGCAGGCAAAATGAGGAATTGCCTCCCTCCTCGGGGAGTTCAGCAGGCTGAGGGAGGAGACCCTGGGCTGCTGTCCTTCCCCATCCCTGATGAGGAGCCCCATGGTGCCCCAAAGCACTCTGGGTGAGCAGGTATGTGGAGTCCCTGGGGCCCCATGGAAGCTCTGAGAGGACAGGAAATGACCTGTATATGGGGCCTGGGCGCCACTCCTGCCCCCAGGGGCTCTGAGAGCCATACTTCTTACTGAGACTCAACTAAGGCTCTGCCAGTTCCTCGTGGGAGCCTGAGACACTAGTTAAGGGTTTGCAGTAAAAAGAGTAAAGGAAGGAATGCAGACTTTCCAGAGAGCTCAAAAATAATCTATTTGATAAATAGGAGGGATTGGTTTCTGGACCTCTTGTGCATACCGGAATGCAAGAATGTTCAAATCCTATACATAAAACAGCATAGTATTTGCATATAACTCTTGCTCACGTTGCCGTATACATTAATTCATCTGTAGAGTACTAGGACCTCATATAGTATGAATGCTATATAGTTCTACACTGTATTGTGTAGGGAATAATGACAAGGGGAAAAAATAATGAGCATATTTGGTAAAATGGAAGTGTTTTTTTTTTGGTTTTGATATTGTTTTTCATGGCCCAACATAATTTTATTGATTTTTTCTTACAAACACTGTTTCTTCCTTTAAAAAAATCTAGAATTTAAATACTTCCCATCCCAAGTCTGTATACATTATTTATAACTTTCAAATAAAACATATTACAGATATGATATTCAGATCCCCCTTTAAAAGAAAAATGATGACACAAACTTTGATCAGTAACTAATACAATTTATGTAATGTTGGCACAGCTTAAAATAGAGCAACCATGTTGCATTTCATATTTTAGACTATTTCTCCCCTTCCGGCTATGTACTTTTTTCCCCAGTGGTATTTGGGGATTGAACCCAGGAATCCTGAGTGCAAGACAAGTACTCTACCACTAAGCTACAGCTGCACCCCTTTTTATTTTTTATTTGAGACAGTGTCTCATTAAATTGTCCAAGCTGGACTTAAACTTGCAATCCTCCTGCCTCGGCCTCCTTAGTACCTGTAATTACAGGCAGGCACCACCATATCCAGCTTCCAGCTATAGACTGTCTATCTCCATGAAAGCAGGGTCTTTGTCTTTGTGCATGCACTATCTTAAATACCTGCACAATGTGAATGCTGTCCCATGCTTCCAATACTTGGCAGCAGCACTATGCCTCTGGCTTTCGTCTTCAGGAATGATTCCTATTTAAAATGTAAGTGTTCTCACACTTAGTGTATTCTCTCTCAAACTAGATTTCATGACACCACTTCCAGTGGTGATTTAAGTAAGAAAAATATAGTAAAAATTCAAATAGAACAAAGTAAGTATTTCCTAAAAGATTAGTGTCCTTACCACCATGCTTATGCTTGTATAAAAATAACAAATAGTTTAGTGGGTGTAAAAAGCTATTTTCCTATAGTCATTTCTGCAGGCCAATTAATGGAGAAAAGTTCTCACATGAAAATGCACTAATCTATTTTACAATGTCCACAACTAAGTGTTTCAGAAATAAAATAAAAACTAAACTTGTGCAAAACTTTAAGAATTATCCATGTATGCTATATGAAAGAAAAATTGAAGTTTATTATATCACTAATAATCTCAATTTCAGTAACAACTTGAAAGTTATCAACCATAAAAATTGATGACAATAAGTACTTCAGAATCATTAACAATGAAAACCTGCAAACTCAACCTAAATGGTTTGTTTTCGTGTGTGTGTGTGTGTGTGTGTGTGTGCATACACGCATTAGTGCCTCAAAAGGGAGATGATGGATAAGAAAACTCAGCTGGAAAAGGTCAATGATTTTGCTATCATTCAGAATAGAAATGTACGCAAAAAGAGAAACTTGCTTTACAATTATAAAACAGAGTACCCAATATTCTATTGATATTGCTTTTTTAATACGTTGGGCCCAAGGTTGGTCGAACCGGTAGATGCAGAGCTTGTGGATATAAAGGGCCGACTGTGCTCCTCAAACTGGCAGTAGAAGTTACAATTTAAGAGGGAAAATATACAAAAACCTACAGGAATCAGGTTCAAATTGGCAGTAGGCTCACAGGTAAAGAATTACCTTATGGCAATGGCGCAGTGCTGGGCAGGCTAAGACCCATGTGGCTTCCCACCCATGCTTCCCGTCAGAAGCAGAGAAAAGCCCGGCTCTCTCTTCTCCTGGATAGGGCACTCAGAGGGTAGACTGGGAGGGAGAAAGAGCAGCCTCTCCTCCTCATCAGAGCTGTGGACTCTGCAGCCTTTTCCCAGGGGTTTATGGCGGGGTGGGGTTGGGGCACAGGGTCCACAGCAAGGGCACTCTGTGCCTCAGGATCCCGAGAAGAGAGAGAATCAGGACCAAGAGGTGGCAGCAAGACAGCACAGACCCTGGGCTATGCAACAAGAGCCAGCACTCGGTGCTGTAGATAGCATCACAGCCTCTGCCAGGTGGGCACTGCCATGGATGCTCTGCCCCATGTGCAAACTTGAGAGCAGGAAAGGTGGGGGCGGTCGGACCAAAGGATTCAGAGCTTCCTCCAGCTCCCAAATTCAAAGGCCGAAAGAACCAGGGCTTTGGCCCGTCCTTGCGGCCCGAGCCTTTCTCTCTTCCAGACTTGGAAGATGCAACCCCACATCTCCCTCTCCCCTGCTGTGCAGATATCCACACTGCTCCTTCAGTTTTTCTGGGGTGAACTGCTACTTCCTTATGTTGTCCTTCCTTCCGCCCTACATTCGTCCATTCTTGGATCTATTATTTCTTTTCCATACCCTTGTGTTAGGGGAAGGGCCTAAAAGACACTGTTAAAAGACTCTTAAAGGAAAGCAAAATGATTAAATGCACATCAGCTAAGGGTCTCCACGTGCATTTGCCCTATTGAACTGTGGCTATTTAAATGGCCCCACATAAATGTGTGAGCACACACACATGTCTATGCACATCATGGGGAGGACTCAAATCTAAATTCACCACCACCATTAAAAATATTTTAACAAAACAAACAACCTACCTTGCTGGCCACCACCAGCTGCACCATTCCAGTGGCGGAGCGAAGAATGGCTACGGCTTCCTCATGGGAGAGCCCGACCAATAAGTGACCATTGATCACCAGCAGTTCATCTCCCAAGGACAGTCTGCCATCCCTGAGGAAATGGAGATGGGAAAAATATCCCTGTCAAGACATTCTGGGCCTGAGAAGGGTCATTTTCCAGGAGCTAGGACAGGTCAGGAGAAGGGAGCTAAAACTGAGTTAAATAGGAAACAGTGACATCTAGAGAGTTTCGGGTGGGACTCGTTTATCCTTTGCGTCCATATTCCCACTACAGCAGGGGAAGGACCAGGATTTTTCAGGTGGTCATTTAGTAATCAGCACATTCTGAAGTTACTCTCAATATCTGGCACTAGTGTCATGAAACTCCTATCCAGGGGGAGATAGTGATGGAAAAACCAAGACCCCAAGGTTTCAAGATAGTCAAATCATCCTCTTTTAAACACCCTCTTCTGCCCTCATGACCAAGGCATCAACATAGGGCCAAGTCACTGAGCTAAGCCTAGGGACAGAAAGGTACCCCAAGCCCACCGGCAGTCCTTCCTCGGCCACTCTTTCGGGTGACAGATGTCTCTCTGGATTTCCTCTGGGGCACCTGTGATTGATCCTGTGCAGCATGTGCCTGCCTGTACCATCCCACTTTCTAGAAGAGTTACAGGACCTAGGGTCGTGATGGGGAACCTTTTAGAGCTTTCAATGATAATAAACAGCCCACTACATGTGCCATAGGTTCGCCACCACTGACCTAGAGGATGAAATCTCCCGGTTCCTGTTTTTGTATGGGGATTGAACTCAGGACCTTGCGCTTGCGAGGCAGGTGCTGGAACCACTGAGCTAAATCCCTGGCCCCTCCCAGTTCTTTCCTTATCCTTGGGTCCCTACAGCCAAGCTTCATAAGCAGAAAGATGAAGACAAATAATAATAAACTTTTAATTTGCTGTTGTCGTAGCTATCAGACATAACCTACAACCACAGGTGTACAAGCATTGTTTCTTTATTTCCTTTAAATTATGGCTGTTTTTGTCCCACTGGGCTACCAGGAGAGTTGGCTGTCACTGGCCTGTTTCTCCTAGGAAAGTCAGGGCTGTCGGTTGACCTCCTACCCGAGAGCACTGGGCGGGCTCCGTCAGTGGATTCCAACTGAGCCACCAGCGGTCTGGTCTTCCATGACCACAAAGGAACCCGAGATGGCTAAATATGGGACAGGACATCTAATGAGGTAGAGAGCCCCTGAACCTCCCCTCCAACACTCACGGTGCTGCTGTGAAACTCATGAATGTCTCCATTCCTCTCAGAATCACTCAGCTCTGATTCTCTTCCATTTGCAGACTCTCTCTCTCCCTTGTTTTCTTTCAGTGAATCAGCCAACTTCTCTCCTCTCATCCTTACCTCCCTGTCTTTCAACAGCTTCTCTATCTCCCTTTTTGTATGGCACACACCACAATTTTTTCTATGAATTTAGGCTTTAACATAAGACAGGAGGAACAAGACTTCCTAGAGCCTCTGCTTTCTGTTCTTTGAAAGTCCCTGAAGCAGAGAAATGCTAAGGGCCCCATTAATTGACTGGAATGCTTAGTGAGGGCAACCTGGAAAGTCACATGGGAGAAAGAAGCTGGAATCTCAAGGAGGGGTGTGGGTCGACAACCCAGGAGAGGATCATATGGGAGGAAAGGAAGTGTGGCATAAATAATTCAATGGTTCTAGTTAGCATCTCTGGGCTTCCTTATCCATAATGTCACCAGAACTATCTCTAGCTCCTTCCCTTTTCCTATCTCACACTTTAATTCCATTTCTCTCATCTCCTGTTATTAAATAGAATGCTCTACTTGTGAGACATGCACCCTAGAGACAGAGGGACATACAACTCCAGGATAAGGATAAAAAGAAAATGATGAGACCCATTAGAAATGGCTCCAATGGGAAACAGACAGGAACAGTTCCATGTAAAGCTTATCTCTGGGCACAGGACTTTCCTAATTGCCAACTTGCCAAAGATAGACTAGAATTTAAGACAAGATTAATAGGAGAATGACTATCTGATGGGAGTTCCTTTAGACATATGTCATTCATTCAGAAGTTCAGTAATGCTCATCTAGGTGAAAATGGTCTCAGATCTTAATCCTTTAATAATTACTGTCACCCAGATAACTGACAATTGCAGTTAATCACATCTCTGCATTAATTATTAGCATCCTACTCTTTAAGAAGATTGATGAGCTGGAAACATTTTGTTAGTTTCTGCTCAGGCCTTCTTAGTTTTCCATTCTTCAGACAAAATACTTCTGGTTCCTTCAGCTGCAGTTCTTGAGATAGACTTTTAAGGGCTCTCTTGATCTTGGGCAGGCTAGTACTGTTTTGGGCAGTCACATTCCCCTAGAACCTAGTTACCTGGACTGAATGATTCTGGATTGAATGAAAGATCATCACCTCCCTCATCAGTGAGACTATCCCTTTGTATACCTAATGTATATGTGCGGGTAGGCAATACATGTATACGCCCCATCATGCCTTGCAAATAAATAGGAGACTCCCTATGTGAACAGAAGCAGTTAGTGCATCAAAATGCATGCCTAATATTTTGGGATAGCTAATTCCCTCATACTCAAAATGACCTTTCTATAAATTCTCTAAATAAGCACTGTCCTTTTTCGACTTCAGGTAATTATTCAGATTAAACAACAAGCTTTTAAGAATGAATTGTTTTCAGGTCACATAGAGAAAAAAATTCACTTTCTCCTCTTCTATATCTGTGCTACAGACACATATAATATTAAGTGTGTGTGAGATCCTTATAGACCTGACAAGTGCATGAACTGTGGTCACATATAAAACCAATCACTTTCCCAATTCATTAGTCAGTCTTATAGGAGTTAAGATGTCAGGATGTGGTATCTGTTCAGTGGCATATTCTTTATAAGTAACCACATATTATCACAGTACTAGCATCCCCAAAATTAGAATATGTAACATTTGCTTGAAACTAAAACTGGTCTAAGAAGAAATCCAATCCTTGTCCATGGTTTGGAAGATCTTAAGTGTCTTTCTCAATTAGCCACTTCCTGTGTTCAGAGATATGTTCAATTAGAACTGCCTTGTCTGATTTCCTTCCAGCATTATCTGTATGAACTATAATTACCAGGGCTTTCACCAAGCAGAAAAGCACTAGCACCCAGCACCCAAGGGAAGGGTAGGGAGGACAGGAGGAAGGGGAGGCAGGGAAAATTATCTAATCACCTGTGAGCGGCACCTCCTTCCTTCACTTGAGTGACAACGATAGCGTGAGGTGAGCGCTTTGATCCTCGGCCTCCACTAACCTGAATTCCCAGCCCATCTGATTCTTTGAGCAGCTCCATCTTCCATATCCGACCAACTTCCTCCTTGGAAGAAAAAGCAAGCATATGTGAAGGATGTCGACAGACATACAGCATTGACACAGGAGAGCGGAGCTGTCACGTCAGGCCACGTATCCACCACTTGCCAACAGACATCACAGAACAAAAAGCTGCTGTGGATTGGACTGAAGTCTCTGGTTGGCAGTGCTGCCCAACTGTACTTGCTGCCATATGGAAACATTCTCTTTGTGCCTTCCAAAATGGAGCCACTGGCCACAGGTGGCCACGGAGTCCTTGAATGGGCCTGGTGGCAACTGAAGACTTGAATTTTAATTTCAATGAATTCTAATTAAATTTAAATATCTAAATAGCTACCTGTGGTAGTGGCTGTGATGTTGGACAGCCCAGCTAGTGTGATTATTTGAATTTCCTGATGAGGCTTCTGTTAAGTGAAGCTTCCTTTGCCCAAGACCCAGATGCCACTGTGTATGTAAACAGTAGCTGAGTCTGGGATCCTTTTATTTCTGCACAGCTACTAATTAATAAAGATAAAAGGAATAGAGCTTGGCTCTTGGTGCCAGGAGACTTCAACTAGTTTGAACCTAGTTCTGCCATTTATAACTTATGAAAATCACCTAATGCATAAATATCTGATTCCCTGACTTGAAAGAGGAAATTATTATTAATGCTTCTAGGTTTTTCCTTAGAATTAAATAAGATATTTATGGAAACATTTAGCAGCATGTGATCACCTAGCAGATAATAATAAATGTTCAAGGTAATCATATGAGTATCTCTTACCAGAAATGCTTGGGGACTAGAAGTATTCCAGATTTAGATTGTAAAATTTTGGAATAGTTGCATATACACAGTGAGATATCCCGAGAATGGGACCCAAATCTAAACATAACATTTATGCTTCATATACACCTTACGTATAGGGCCAAAGGTAATTTCACACAATGTTGTTAGCGCACCTGTGTTTTGACTGTGATCTGTCACATGAAGTCAGGTGTGAGATTTTCCACTTTTGATATCATTTTGACACTCAATAATTTTCAGATTTTGGAGCATTCTGTATTTGGATTTTCAGATGAGGAATGATATATATATATGTGTGTGTTTATATATATATGTATTTATGTTTAAAACATTCTACTGAATTGAATCTTAAGATTCCTTAAAACACATAAATGATATCTTTGGTAGGAAATATCAAAACAGAAAATTAATTGATGCATCTGATGTTGACTGTTAATTGACAGAACTGGTGACAACATCAGCCTGTAAGCTGCTTAAACATATTTAAAATGCTTCAACCCCTATAAAAATCTGTCCCTAAAAAAACCCCTCACAAATGTCTTTAAGCTATTTGATTGCTCATACCTTTTCTGCCTTGGTTTGTCCTTTACTTGAATCTCTATTTCACTCTAAGGGTACAAACATGCTTACTGCAAAGTTGTCGAGTTCTTCCAGATACTTAGCTATTCAGAGAAATGAGAGTGAAATCTTTAAAAGTGATTTATTTTTGAGTCTTACTTTAGGCTCTCCCCTGCTGTTCTTTTTAGCCCTAGATATATGAGTGTGGGTCACAATATATTCCTCAACATATAAAACAAAAGCCATCTGCTTTTTTCATCTTGAACATCCCATGGAACAGTTAAGGTCTACACAATGTCATCATCCCCCAAGAAATAGGCAACCTGCCCATTCAAGCTGCTTGCAAAGAAGAAAGAATGTGATGTATTTAGAAAATCTGAAATACACAGTGTCAGAAACTAAAACGAAACTTTATGCAATAGTGAAAAAACCAGATGTTGAGTAGTCACTGATGTGCAGCAATAGGAATGTCTGGGGAAATTATTACCAGACAGAAACCTCCTGGATCCTACACTTTTTCTAGTACAGCAGTGCTCAGTGGGGCTCCCTTACCCAGCAACCTGCAGTGGTGCCAACTGTCTCCTCCATCTTCTGACCACAGACGAATGGAGCTTGTCTGGCCAAATGTAACTTCAGAAGTCACTGGCTTACCACAGTAGTTCATGAACTTGTCAATGGTCCCTATTTCATCTAATCATCCCACTCTGGACTCCACGGATTTTGGTTTGCTGCCTCTGACCTCTGGAACACCTTTCTCTCCTCCATTCAGAAACACTCTCCCCAGCCTTTGGTTTCTCATAGTGCCACTACTTCCAAAAAGCCGGGGGAATCAGTATGAGCACCAAGATGGCAGCTTTCAACATTACCAACACAGAACACCTGATGGCCTTGCAGATGCCACCAAAAAGAACAAATTTGGTACGTGCTGATTGGTTGCTGTCCTGGCTTGCTGTGTGTCCCATGCCAGCATCTTGGGCAGCCTGTGGCTGTCCCTCTGGGCATCATGGTGTGGTTAAAACACAAGGGTGAGGCAGTGGCTTATTGCTTCCTGGAAAAGATGCCACAATTCCCGGGTCCTAGGAGATGAGAGACTGTGCTCCTCCCTTCCCAGCACAGAAAAGCTGTAGATCTTTCCCAAAAGCAACAGAGTTCACTATTGGAGCCCAGAAAGAAAACTCATTCATTTCTAGCCCAAATTAGTAAAATCCTATCTACACTCATTCCTAGTTTATACTGTCATCCTTTTTCCCTTTGCACTCCTCTTTCATTAAATAGAACACACAGGTAGGATTCAGAGGGTGTGACAATACCAGATATGAATGCTTTTAAAAGTAAGATTTGTGATGACACATGCAACAATATATTCATGGAAGTAGAAAAATGGTGAAATGTATGCATTGACAGATGAGTTAAAGAAAGTTTTCATCAAGAGCATCCACATGCTCACTTTATACCCTCCCCTGACCCAACACACACATAACTAGTTAAAAACAAAAATAAAAATGAAACCCACATATCTAATACAATGGCTTCAAAGAGCAGAAATGACTGTCAAGGTGAGCTTCCCAACTATTCTAGTCAAAAACCAGATCTTCTTCACTTTTATCCAATAATATGATTTCCCCCCATAATTGAAAATGGGAATTATAAAGGGATTGTCCAAAGAAATCAATGCAAGTTTCTGCCACCACAAGAGTGGAAAGAATTAAGTTCATGAACCAAGATAGCACTGCATGAAGGAAGACAAAAACAGCAAGAGGCAACTGTTACCAATATAAATCCTACATGTGTCAGTAAACATTCTATATTACTTGTAAATTTATTTGCCTACAGCTAAAGCAATGTTCAGTTAAAAATTAGTGCATGAGGTTTGTTAGGTTAAAGTGGTACTGGCCCAAAGCAAATGGGCTAATTAACACCTTAGTACAGTCAAAACTGGCCTCTTCCCCTTCTGCTCCTGGTTTTCCCATCTCAGTAAGAGTAGAACTATTATTTACTTAAGCTACAGAGGATAGGCAAGGCAAAACCCCATGTATGATCTTTGATTCCTCCTGTTTCATTTCCTCCTTCCAAGCCATGTGAGAGACCTGTAGGTTCTGCTTCCAAAATAGACCCCACGTTCATCTACTTATGCTCTTCTCCACTGGTATCTCTGTCAAAGCCACCAGCATCTTCAGCTTGGGTATTAACAGTATCCTATTTGGTTTTCTGTTTTACTCTTCATTTTGTACAGCCCATTATTCTCCATTAAACATCTAGGGTGAATGTTTAAAATGCATAAGTTATGCTGCATTTAGCTTGAATCCTCCAATAGCTTAAATGGTTTCCCATGGAGTAAGAGTAAGGTCCAGACTGTAATGGCCCTGTCCAGTGTCCTGAATCATCTCCTAGCGCTCAGTTTCTTTGCTTCTGGAATACCCTATTGTTCCAGCTTTAAGGCAGCTGCTTTTGCTCGTTTGCCCTTGGGAACATTCTGTCCCAATTTTACAGGGCTGCCAGGGTCAGTTCACACATTGCTTCTTCAGTGAGGTCTTCCTTTGTGGACACCCAATATCAACTAGCCCCCATCCATATGACTAGCGGTTTTCCACGTCACCCTGGTTTAGTTCATTTATAATACTTGTCATCACGGGATGTTCTGATTTATTTATTCTTTATGACCCTCTTCTACGCTATAAATGCCATGGGGTAAGTACCTTGTCCATCTCATTTATCAATGGGTTCACTAGCAACTGGAATAGAACCTAACATAACAACATTGTACAAATAGCACAGAATAAGCATAAAATGTTTATTCACTAATTTTATATATGGTTTTCTGGCATCACTGAGACTGATAAGAAAGGCTACCCAGATGGGAGGCCTGTGTGTTCACTAGAGTTCAGGTATGAACACTGGGTCAGCTGTACAGACAACTGAGTTCTTGCCTGCTGCACAAGCGCAAGGACCCGAGTTCGATCCCTGGTACTAAAAACAAAAAACAAAAAAAACAACAACAAACAGACAACTGAGTTCTGAGACAGACCCTATTTAAACAGATGCACTGGACAGTCATTTTCTCTTACATTGGTTTAAAGGGCAATGAGATTTTGTCAGCCTATTAAGCAAAAGCCAAATGACAAAAAAATGGGATACTATGGACTTCTGCACTAATGTTGTCAGAGCGTTACCATTCCCTATAAACCTCCCACTGTGGTGGGAGTCCACATGTGCATCTTTAAAACGAAGCCACTGCTTGGATTTATTTACTACAGCAGGGAGGCGCATAAAAGGGAGCTAACTCACAGCATTTAAATGACCTCATTTCTGCTGGAACCAAAAATAACACTTCACCACAGCATCTTTGCCCCAAATGTGAGAAGACACATCAGCCAGCTAGAATTGCACTGTGGCAAATGCTTTGACTCTCACTACAAACCTATTTTGAGACTGTTTGCTTCTTATTTAGAAGGATCGGTAAGAAATGAAAAAAAAGTGTGATCATGTCAGGGCTGAAGTCCCTTAGTCATCAGACCAAAATGGTCAGTTTATAGGCAAGGAAACAGAAAAACAGAGAAAGCCACAGGAGCCCAAAGGCCTCCGAGCTGGGGACAGAAGAGCTGGGGCTGGAGTTTACTATCTTATCTATCAGGCTCGGTACCTCTGGGCATTTTCATTAGTAAAGA